GCTTTTCTAACCAAGATCCATTCAGAGATGTTCAGTTAACTGGTGGACTAGAGATATAAAAACAGTAACAGACATGTGTGGCCACTGGGCAGGAAGGACAGGAAGTGTCATTCAGCCTAGCTAGAGGGTGGGGAGACACTCTAGGATTTAAAGCAGAGAGAGATTTTTCCCACTGCCCTAGAAATGCATAGAGAGATGCAAAAACTCTTGTACAAAGAGTTGAGAAATGAGCCTTTTGCAATTAACATGCCAGCCCAAAGACCAGGTTTGGCTCTACCGAGAAGCAATTCTGCAAGAAATCCACCAATTTCTGCTGGCCGGCAGAGTTGCCTGCTGCTCAATTCCCCACCCCCACCCCCGTCTCCCCGTCTCTTGATGTTGAGTGTTTTTGACCGTGCCTCCCAGCCAACCAAAACCTTGCTTTTCACTTGCCATTTCAGCACAAGCTTACTCTGTTCTGAGAAGACAAGTTACCGTATTTGTTTAACTGATGCGATTTGAACCTTGCTTAACTGCTTGGCCATTTCATCCGGGCAAAGATGTCTCTCCTGAATTTTCAAGGCTTTTTTTTTTTAGCTGCCATCTTAAATCCTTCGGGGAAAGAAGGAAAAGGATACTAAGATTAAGTGGGCACTCCTGCTAAGCTTGAGCATTGATGGTTACTAGTCTTATCATAATGGTATGTGTGGGAGATCTTCAGAGGTCTAATTTTTTTAAAACCAGCTACACACACACACACACACACACACACACAACCATCTTAAAAAGCTTACCTGTCTTTGTTGTTTCCAGAATCAGAACTAAAGCTAATCTAGTCTTTGTTCCTGCTTCCCAAAAAACCCTCAACCCTTTGCTGTGAAGACCACAATTAGAGCTACGTTTGTGTGTAATCCCCTATCCTTGAGTTATGACCACACTTGGAACCAGAATTCCTATTGCTAAACAAGGTAGTTGTTAAGTGAGTCACATCCAATTTTACGACCTTTTTGCCATGGTTGTTAAGTGAATCGCTGCAGTTATGTGAACACACAGTCATTAAATAAACCCAGCTTTCCCCATTGAAAGGAAGCTGGCTGGGAAGATCACAAATGGCGATCCCATGACCCCAGGACACTCCCAGGTGCCCAAATTATGATCACATGCAATAGTTTTTCGGTGGCATTGTACCTTCAAATAGTCACTAAAGCAGGGGTCTTCAAACATGGCCCTTTTATGACTTGTGGACAGGCACGCTGGCTGAGGAATTCTGGGAGTTGAAGTCCACAAGTTATAAAGCCAAGTTTGAAGACCCCTGCACTAAACAAATGGTTCTAAGCTGAGGACAACTAGTAACCCCTCTGTTCCTTTTTCTGCATTTGCTGATGTCTGCTCCAACCTGCACTGCCCAAAATTGACATCCTGAGTTTTTTCCATTTTGAATTGTTCAAAGCAAAAGCTTAAAATAGATTGAACCCAGCCAAACAAAGACTCATGCATGTGCACACACAAACATATAGAAAACCCAGAGGGGGAAAAACAGCACAAAGTTTTGACCTGCCTCTCTTGCATCACTGGTCCTGCCCACTCAGCCCTTGCCTTCCCAAAAAATGTGGATTGGCCCTTAGCCACCAAAAACCTCCTCTTACATGATCGTAGCCAGTTGTACATTGTGTAGCCGGAGACAGTTTTCTCGTCCATTGGACTGTTCCTGACCCCCCTCCCCCCAGAAAAGAAAGGGGAATTCCTCCACTTATACCCAGAAAGCTAGACTTTACAATTTGCCTGCATTTGCAAATGAAACATACATTTAAAAATGTCTTCAGCTTTTTCCCTTCAGAGATTAAAAGCTATAATTGTAGTTCAACATTGATAAAATCTCTCCCAAACCCATAGATGCAGCAGCACCCAAAACAGAACAGGGGAGACACCCTGTTACAGAGGTGTGCCACTCCTTAAACCAGAGAGAACCAAAAGATTAAATGAAGAATATCATCTTGCAAAATTTTGATGTGGGGGGGAGATAACGTTTGTTTTGACCTGATATCCCATATCCAAGGAGGGTGTTGTGAGTTTTTCCTCTTTGGCAGGAAAATACAGAAATGTAGTTTCCCATCAGCTGGGAACTTGCAAGCCTCTCTCTATCCTTGAGGACTAGAAAATTGAGTTATAAAGCAGGAAACAGCATTTCCCACTAATGGTTGGTGTCCTCAGTTTTGTTTTTAGGCATTTGTGTACTTGGGTAGTTAAAAGCGGGACTGGAAGTTATTAGTTATTAGTTGGAACTGAGACCAGCTGCACCAAAGGTAAATTACCTTGATGTGGTGGGAGGACTCAGTAGCTCCAATGAAGCTCAGAGCGGAGTTGATGGGAACCACTGATAGAATCACTCTTGCCAATGGGGTCAAAAAGAAAGGGGTGTGAGAGAGCATTACTCAGACCTGATTGGATGAGGGCAACAGCACTCTCAGAGATTTAGCCACCTTGCATTTGGGTCTTGCATCAGCTATAATCCCAAAATGAGATGAGAGAGTAGTGATAATCTTCAAAAGAAGTTTGGTGACTGCTCCAGAGGGGGTGGGTTGTGATTGCCAATATGTGGACTGGAGAGACCTGCTAGGGATTCTGCCTATAAAACAGGGGTGTCCAACCTTGGCATCTGTACGACTAGTGGTCATCAACTCTCAGAATTCCTCAGTCAGTCCACAAGTCTTAAAATCGCCACGGTTGGACACCCCTGCCGTAGAGGGTAACGTCCACCTTTCTTCAACTCCTGAGCCTTATTTCAAGGCTGGTTTTGGAATCTCCTGACTTAAAGTGTTGGGAGGACTTCATCTCCATGCCTTTGGGTGGGATCCTGAGAAAACATAGGAATTCAGTTTCCATGGCAGCCATGAACTTATCCCAGGTAATCTTTGGCCATACTTTGGATATTGTCTTCTCCTCGAAGCAGTTGGTGTATGATCTGAAATTGGAGGACATCTCAATGAATCTTTTGCGGTGGTTGGATCCCTTCCGGGTTCACCTGCTGGGGGTTGCTATCCCCAACCCCAGCAGGATAAAAGGACCCATTAAAGGTTGGCTTGCCCTAGGAGGTGGATGGATCTGAGTAGATCCCCACAATTGCTGGGGAGTTCCCAGCAATTTGGGCGAGAGGTCTAAGCACCTGGTCCAGCTCTGGAACATAGAAGTGACTACAGTGCTTCAAAGGTGTTCCATTTCCTGATCCTGAGGATTATCTGGAGATGAACTAGCAAAAAGAGACATTGTTGGAGAAAAACCAGAAGGAAACATGTATGAACTCATGCAATAAAGGTGGTGAAGCTTGTATTTCTCCACTGTTGTTGGGTTGGTAAATTGTGCCCCAGTAGCTTGTTGGGAGTAACCTACGCTGTGTGGTATAGTCAGAGTTGGGAAGATCTCCCAACAGGCCTTTGTGAAGTTTTATGGAAACATTTTGCTGATCAAGTCATTCAATGTTACCCAAGTGCCAACTCAACATGGGTTGCATTGGTAGAGATGACTAAGTTCTTATCGGAAGGCCCCTCCTTATAAAAGCTGAGAGATTGCTTCCATTGGACTTTATTAAATAATTCACAACTGTCTGGATTCACACAGCTCCCTAAGCAAAGCAAAAAAATCCACATTATGTACACGTAGTCCTTGACTAGTGACCGTTCAGTTACAATGGCACTGAAAAAAAATGGCTTATGAACATTTTTTCAAATGCCCATTGGAGCATCCCCAAGGTCACATGGTCAAAATCGGGACGCTTGGCAACTGGCATGTGTTTATGATGGTTGCAGAGTCCCGGGGTCATGTGATCACTTTCTGCCACCTTCTGACAAACATGGGGAAGCCAGATTCACACAACAATCATGTTACTAATTTAACAACTGCAGCGATTCACTTAACAACTGTGGCAAGAAAGATCATAAAATGGGGCAAAAGTCATTTGACAACTGTCTTGCTTGGCAACAGAAATGTTGGGCTCCATTGTGGGCATAAGTCAAGGACTACCTATATTGTGCATTGAGTAAACCTAGAGTCAAACTACGTAGTTTTCATAGCTTAATCAATAGGCAGTGTTTTATTCTGAGGGGCTTCCAATGAATGAACGATCCATATGTTTGGGAGAGAGTACTTTCTTTTCAGTGGATCAGTTGAGAGCAGAGAGCAAATATAGAGTTCTGTGTTTACCAAGTTATCTGTCAGCTTAAGCCACCTTTCTCAACTGGGAATCCTCCTGGTTTGTTGAGATTTCATGGCTGAGGGATGGAGATGATGAGAAGCAGAGATCTAAAACACCTGCAGGAATCTTAATCTATCGGGCTGGATCAAGCAGTTGGCTATAAATCTGCTAATTGGTCCTAACATGCTTCTCTTTTTAATATGCTTTCCATACGTAAAAAAGATCTCTAACATTTTTTAAATGTGGTGCTCATTTTGGGCATAGGGGAGGGATCTCTTGAATTTATAACCGCCTCATTGTTCAACTTCTGTGAAATGGAAAGATGGAATATAAAGACTTTAAATCAGGGTGTCAAACTCGCCGCATCACATGACGTGTCGCGATGTATCATGACTTTTTCCCCTTGCCGGAGCTGCGATGGGCGCAGCTTTCACATGATGCATCCGGCCCACGGGCCGGCAGTTTAATACCCCTGCTTTAAATCAAGATTTACCAACTTTGATGACTTTAAGACAGGGGTCTTCAAACTTGGCCCTTTTATGACTTGTGGACTTCAACTCCCAGAATTCCTCAGCCAGGCACACTGGCTGAGGAATTCTGGGAGTTGAAGTCCACAAGTCATAAAAGGGCCAAGTTTGAAGACCCTGCTTTAAGATGTGTGGACTTCAACTCCTGGGAGTTGAAGCCCACATACCTCAAAGTTGCCACGGGTGAGAAGTCCTGCTTTAAATAAAGGAAGCAGACCTTCCTTTAAAAAAAACGAAAAAAGAGCAAACCACTGGAAACATAAGATAACTTGGAAAAAGTTAAATTCCGCCTGTTTTTCTCCCAGGTGTATCCACCCAACTCAGGTGATGAATACAGCAGGGACTCAGCCAACTACACAACTTCCAAGCCACCCAGCACCGTCTACCCTGGAGCCTTCTACATGCCAGGTAGGTAACCTAAAGAACTCAATTTTAGTAGCCATCCTCAACTTACATAGGCCGGGGGGGGGAGGGGTTGACCAACTCCCAGAATTCTCTGCAATGGCCGTGCTGACTGAGGAATTCTGGGACTTGCAATTGGTAGCTCTGGAGAGTGCTGGTTGGAGAAAGCTGGACTTTGAGGAAAATGGGACGGGATAAATTTTTTTTGTTGTAGGTCAGGCAGCCGTTGCCATTACAGTCCTCGACTTATGACCACGATTGAGCCCCACATTTCCATTGCTAAGCTAGACAGTTGTTAAATGAGTTTAGCCCCCATTTTACGAACTTTCTGGCCACAGTTGTTAAGTTAGTAACCTGGTTGTTAAGTGAATCTGGCTTCCCCATTGACGTTGCTTGTTCAGAAGGTCGCAAAAGATGGATCACATGACCCCGGGACGCTGCAACCGTCAGAAATACATGCCAGTTGCCAAGCATCCAAATTTTGATCACGTGACCACGGGGTGTGTGTGATTGTAAGTGTGAAAAACGGTCATAAGTGTGAAAAACGGTCATAAGTCACTTTTTCAGTGCCGTTTTCACTTTGAACGGTCACTTAAAAAAGGGTTATAAGTCGAGGACTACCTGTATGAAATACCTCACAGTATTACGGATACTGTACTTGAAAATAAATAATTAAAATGACTTGCTGGCGAAGTCTGAGAGTCCAGCATGACTGAAGGGTTCCAGATTCGGGAAGTCTGTCTCAAGTGCGTCTGATGGGAAAAATGATGTCGGACCGAAGGTTCACCTGAACAATCGTTAGCTGGACCCACTTCTTTTGGCTCCCCGGCTAGCAGAAAGTGTTGAAAATCTTTGCTTGTGCCTGCCTGTCCAAATGTAGATTTACAGATTTACAGATTCCAGTGGAAAGTGGAATGGGCAGCCAGCTCTCTTCCGTCCAGTGCTCCTGATTCTTCTTCTCTTTCTGTCTTGCAGATGGGCTTCACAATTCGGCAGATCTGTGGAGTTCCTCCAGCAGCATGAGCCAGTCGAATTATGGGGCCATCTTGGGCACTTCTTCCTCCCCGCTTCCCCAGTCTAGCAACTTCAGCAGTCTTCACCAGCATGAACGCATGGTAAGAAAACCTGGGTCTCTGGTGTGCTATGAGTACATGTAGAGGTTGGTAGATTCTGTACAGGTAGTCCTCGACTTACAACCGTTTGTTTAGTGCAGGCATACAGTAACCTCCCTGCTATGCCATGTCAAACTCTGTCTTGCATTGTTCAATACCATGAATTCTTTTATCTAACAATAACAGAGTTGGAAGGGAGCTTGGAGGTTTTCTAGTCCAACCCCCTGCTCAGGCAGGAAACCCTATGTCAGTGATGGCGAACCTTTTAGAGACCGAGTGCCCAAACTGCAACCCAAAACCCACTTATGCATTGTCGGGTGCTGGGTGGGTGTGGCTGCGGTGGTAATGGCAGACTGGGTAGGACTAAAAAGTTCAATCAATCAATTCCAACTTTGCAAGATCTTTTTTTTCCCCACGAGAAGTTGAAATTGACTGATTGATTGAACCTTTTTTTTTTTTTGCACACGGCGGCGGAGGCCTAAAGCGAAAAGATTTTATAAAACCCAGCGGAAGGCCTAGGACTGGGGCGACGGTGCGCATGCCCACAGAGAAGGCTCTGAGTGCCGCCTCTGGTACCCGTGCCATAGGTTCACCACCATGGCCCTATACCAGGGGTAGGCAACCTCGGCTCTTTTATGGCTCATGGACTTCAACTCCCAGAATTCCTGAGTCAGCTATGCTGACTCAGGAATTCTGGGAGTTGAAGTCCATGAGTCATAAAAGAGCCGAGGTTGCCTACCCCTGCCCTATACCATTTCAAACAAATGGCTGTCCAGTCTCTTCTTAAAAACTTCCAGTGTTGGAGCATTCACCACTTCTGGAGGCAGGTTGTTCCACTGATTAATTGTTCTCACTATCAGGAAATTTTTCCTTAGTTCTAGGTTGCTTCTCTCCTTGATTAGTTTCCATCCATTGCTTCTTGTGCTGCCTTCAGGTGCTTTGGAGAATAGCTTGACTCTCTCTTCTTTGTGGCAGCCCCTGGGATATTGGAAGACTGCTATCATGTCCCCCCTCGTCCTTCTCTTCATTAAACTAGACATACCCAATTCCAGCAACCGTTGCTTATATGTTTTAGCCTCCAGTCCCCTAATCATCTTTGTTGCTCTTCTCTGTACTCTTTCTAAGAGTCTCAACATCTTTTTTACATCGTGGTGACCAAAACTGGATGCAGTATTCCAAGTGTGGCCTTACCAAGGCATTGTAAAGTGGTATTAACACTTCACGTGATCTTGATTCTATCCCTTTGTTAATGCAGCCTAGCACTGTGTTGGCTTTTTTGGCAGCTTCAGCATACTGCTCATATTTAAGTGATTGACCACTAGGACTCTAAGATTCCTCTCACAGTTACTACTATTGAGCCAGGTACCGCCTATACCAGTGATGGCGAACCTTTTAGAGGCCGAGTGCCCAAACGGCAACCCAAAACCCACTTATGTATCGTCGGGTGCCGGGTGGGTGTGGCCAATTGGATGGGCGAGGCCTGTTGGGTGGGCGTGGCTGCGGTGGTAACGGCAGACTGGGTGGGACTAAAAAGTTCAATCAATCAATTCCAACTTTGCAAGATCTTTTTTTTTCCTGAGCAGCTGAAATTGATTGGTTGATTTTTTTTTTTGGCACACGGCCACGGAGGCCTAAAGCGAAACGCTTTTATAAAACCCAGCTGAAGGCGTAGGACTGGGGCGACGGCACGCGTGCCCACAGAGAGGGCTCTGAATGCCACCTGTGGCACGCGTGCCATAGGTTCGCCACCACGGGCCTATACTATACCTGTGCATTTGGTTTTTCTTTCCTAAATGTAGAACCTTACTTTTTTATCACTGAATTTCATTTTGTTAGATAGCGCCCAATGTTCAAGTCTGTCAAGATCCTTCTGTATCTTTAGCCTCTCTTCTGGAGTGTTGACTATTCCTGCCAGCTTGGTGTCGTCTGCAAATTTGATGAGTTCCCCATCTATCCCCTCATTCAAATCACTGATGAATATGTTGAAGAGTATTGGGCCTAACACAGAGCCTTGGGGCACCCCACTGCATACTTCCCTCCATGTAAATGCAGTTTCACTGAGGACCACACACTGAGTACGGCCGGTCAGCCAGCTACGAATCCATCTGGTGGCAATGCTATCTAACCCACATTTTCTATCTTATCAAGTAGTAGGTTGTGGTCTACTTTATCAAATGCCACAAGCATTTTGTCGCAAGTGTTAGTTCATTTTGAGCCTTAGCTTTCCTGACTTCATCTTTGCCGGCTTGGGCTATTTGCTGATATTCTGCCTTAGTTATGTGCCCCTCTTTCCATTTTTTATACTTGTCCTTTTTGTCTTTCAATTTATCAGAGAGTTCTTTATGCAATCATGCCAGTTTATTTTGAGAGCTGTTATTTTTCTTCTCCATTGGTATTGTGCTTTTATAATCTCTGTTTTCCCAAGGTTCTTGGGTTGTTTTCCCCTTGAGGATTCTCATCAATGGAGTCCTTCCCAAGCTCTCTAAGTTTATTGAAAATAGTTCTCTTAAAGTCCAAGATCTAGTTTGACTTTGTCTATTGCTTGTGCTTGCATAATGTTGAATTCCAATATTGCATGATCACTCCCCTCCCCAAGGTTTCTGTAGCTTCCACACCTTCTATCATTTCATCTCTATTAGTGAGAATTAAATCTAATATGGCTGATCCCCTAGTTCCCTTTTCTACTTTTTGGGAGACAAAGTTGTCTCCTAGGTTTGTCAGGAACCTATTTGATCTTTGATGTCAGGGTAGTTAAAGTCCCCCATTGATATTGTGATGTGCTTCCTACATACCTTAGTTAACTGATTAGCAAAAAGTTCATCTATTTCCTCTGTTTGGTTGGGTGGCCTATAGTATACACCTATGGCAATGTCATTTCCCCCCTCCCCTTTTATATTGATCCAAATGCATTCAAGACAGTTTTCATCATTGTTGTGCTTTAATTCTATAGAGATGTAGTCATTTCTTATATATAGTACAAACTCCACCTTCTCTTTTAAAATCATTTTTAAATCAAGAAAATCATTGACTCTACCATCAGTTGTACTCTTGATATTATATTTATAATGGACAGTGATTTTGTATCTATTCCATATTCCCAATGTGGCACATCTCCCATAACGATTTTTAAAATCTACACTAACTTATTGTACCCCAAGTATCCATGCCACCCATATGTCAGGTAAATGTTCTTCTAACTCTAAGTCCTTTATTTCTCACCTATATCCATTCTTTCATCCAAACCAAACAATAAACTGCAAATTACGATTTCAGATCAGGTCAAGCGAGTTCTCCTCTGTCCTTTACATCTTGATAAAATCTTATATTTAGCTCTTGGTTGTTTCCCTTGCAACACAGACTTAGATACAGGTAGTCCTCAATTTACAACAGTTCACTCAGTGACCGTTTGAAGTTACAATGGCACTGAAAAAAGTGACTTATGACCATTTTTCACACTTATGACTGTTTGCAGCATCCCCATGGTCATGTGATTTACATTCGGATGCTTGATAGTTGCAGTTTCCAGGGGTCATCTAATCACCTTTTGCAATCTTTTGACAAGCAAGGTCAATGGGGAAACCAAATTCATTTAACCATGTTACTAACTTTAACAAATTGCAGTGACTCGTTTAACAAATGTGGCAAAAAAGTCATAAAATGGGGCAAAACTCACTTAACATATTTCTCACTCAGCAATATAAATTTGGGCTCAATCTTGGTGTAAGTTGAGGAGTACCTGTATATCTTTTTGCCATTGTTTAAATGGCACATCAGTTGTCAAAACAAGTATTGCCTGAAACAGAAACATCATTCTAGGCAAGACATTCACCTTTATCACAGAAATTCTTCCCAACAGTGACAATTTTATCATTTCTATCGTCTTAGCTTGTCTTTTTATATTTCATTCCATACCTTCACATAATTACCCAAATATTTTACTTCTTTCTCAGCCTTTAAGCCAGTTTTCTCTATCAGTTCTGTTTGACCCACTATTTTCATGTTTTTTATTAATGTTTTCATTTTCTGGGTACTAATCTGAAAATCTACCATAGTAGTTGTGAGTTCCAGATTACCCCCAATATATAGAGTTCCAGATTACTCCTAATATCTCCCTGTTCAGGGGGAATGCCATGTCATCCAGAGTCAAAGAGGAGCAAATTATTTTTGTACAAACAAGAACTTCATCTTGTTGATCCCAAAGGTGCTTTTTCCAAAAGACAAATGGACTGCCTTTTTTTTTCCCCTTTGAAAACGTTTCGCTTCTCGGATCCAAGAAGCTTCTTCAGTTCTAACTGAACGGACTTAGAATTGAAAAAAAATCCTGGATGAAAAGCGAAACGTTTTCAAGGAGAAAAAAAAACCAAGAATGTCTGTTGCCTTTTGGAAAAAGCACGTGTGGGCAGTGGCGTAGCGTGGGTTGTCAGCACCCGGGGCAAGGCAAGTAATTTGCGCCCCCCCCTCCACAGTGGGCGGCGACCCGGCGGCTCGGATCGGATTCGCACAGCCAGCACTTCAGAGTGAGTGAGTGAGCCAGGCAGGGGCAGAGAGCTGCGAGTGCGAGCGCGCCCCCCCAGATGTTGCGCCCGGTGCGGCCGGCCCCCCCGGAACCCCCCACGCTACGCCTCTGCGTGTGGGACAATCGTGACCGGGATGATTGAGAATCTCCATAGATATACATCTTGTTAGAGTTCAACTTCAGGGCTTTTTTGGGGGGGGGCAAAAAAAGTCATAAAATGGGGCAAAGCTCGCCTAACAACTGCCTTAGTTTGACAACAGAAATGTTGGGCTCAATTGTGGTCGTAAGTTGAGGACTACCTGTACTGCTTTCCTGAGGTTCATGTTCGGAGTAGAAAGAGTAAACCTTGAAGCTTTGTCTCCTAAAATTCTAAAGTGAGTGTGAAAGGAGAAATATAAGGGAAGGTCGCCATTGTGTATCCCCTTCCTCCCTTTAATAATAATAATAATAATAATAGTAAAGTTGGAAGGGACCTTGGAGGTCATCTAGTCCAACCCCCTGCTCAGGCAGGAAACCCTATACCCTTTTGGACAAATGGCTGTCCAGTCTCTTCTTAAAAACCTCCAGTGTTGGAGCATTCACCGCTTCTGGAGGCAGGTTGTTCCACTGGTTAATTGTTCTAACTGTCAGGAAGTTTCTCCTTAGTTCTAGGTTGCTTCTCTCCTTGGTTAGTTTCCATCCGTTGCTTCTTGTCCTGCCTTCAGGTGCTTTGGAGAATAGCTTGACTCCTGCTTCTTTGTGTCAGCCCCAGAGATATTGGAACACTGCTATCATGTCCCCCCTCGTCCTTCTCTTCATTAAACTAGACATACCCAATTCCAGCAGCCTTTCCTTATATGCTTTAGCCTCCAGTCCCCTAATCATCTTTGTTGCTCTTCTCTGTACTCTTTGTAAATGCCTTTCTTTGTTCCCCTTCTAGAATTATCAGATGCATTCGGGCGAGGTCAACGGTGGTCTCCCGTCGGTCCCTGGATTTTCTTCAGCTTCCACTCAGTATGGAGTGTCCAGCCACACTCCCCCGATTGGAGGGACGGAAAATGTCCTGGGTAAGTATTTTGTCTTTTTTCTCCAAAGCCATGGAAACACATTTAAGTTCTTTCTTTCTTTTTTTCGTTTTAAGGGTGGAGCTGCATAGGAACTTCCAAAGTTTAGGAATCCAAATTGGAGAGACTAGGTATTTTAAAGAGCAAATAGTTAGCAAACACACACACACACACACACACACACACACACACACAATCCTCCTGCCATCTCTCTGATTTAAAGTCAAGAGTGGTTAATAAAATATTTCTTGATTCTGCTTAATTTCATGTCAGGCAGAGAGGCAGGACGCCAAATAGTAGCCACAACGTGGCGATGGAAACCAACATCTTGACGTTATGAACATGAGGACAGATATTTGGTCACAAACCTTATGATTGAAAGCAGTAGTTCCAATAAGACTGAAATACTAGAATAACCCAATAACAGACTTGGACGGGACCTTGGTGGTCTTCTAGTCCAGCCCCCTACTCAGGCAGGAAACCCTATAACATTTCAGACAAGTGGTTGTCTGATCTCTTCTTAGAAACCTCCACAACGTCTGGAGGCAAGTCGTTCCATTGATGAATTGTTCCAGCTGTCAGGAAATTTCTCCTTAATTCTAGGTTGGTCTTCTCCTTGATTAGTTTCCATCTGTTGCTTCTGGTTCTACTTTCAGGTGCTTTGGAGAATAGATTGACCCCCCCCCCCTTCTTTGTGGCAGCCTCTTAGATATTCAAACACTGTGAGATTAACACAGAAATTTCAAGCACTTGGGTGGATTTTAGACCTAGAAGCATACCACGGAGCACCAACTATGGTGGGAGGAAGAGGAACGGGGCCAAAATAACTCTGGATGTGTCTGCTTCCTAATCCTACACCCACATAACCTGCTTTGGGTGCACTGCCACTCTTCTAACAGAGCTTCCTCTCCTCCTTCTTGTGTCTTCCTGGCACATGAAGGTTAATCCCTCAAGAGTGGCTTTGCGCCAGGGGAGCCCAGCAGACGGAAATAGATCTATTTAGCTTTAAGCCCCTGTCTGGGGGACGTACTTAGTAACGTCTCCCCTCTTTGACAGCCAGACATAGAATCTTCATCCCTTACACATTTATTACATATAGACTTGGAGACTTGTTTTTAATCCTCCTGCCCTCCCCCCCCCCCACACATACACATTGCTGCTTGGGGAGGGGAGGAAAGAGACTACAGGTCACTTAAATTCATCCGCAAGATCACTCAAAATCATTTTTACCACCAGGAAGTGGAGATTACTTAAGAAAGTGCCCATGTTTAATTTAATCCATTTCAGTCGTAGAGGCACCCAAGTGGGGCAAATACAGAGGTCCCTGGGGGTTGCTGTTATAAACAAGGATTAGAAAAAAAAAGGGGGGGGGGATAATGCAGGTCAGGGAAGAAGAGATCCGGTGGGTTTAGATCCAATGGGAAAATACTAGAAATCCAGCTTTCTAGTCCCGTCATTCTCAGGTGAACCTGTTACAAACCTTTTCTCTGAATGTTAATTTAATAAAATGAACAATGATTGTATTAGCAATTAAGTTACTAAAAGAGGTAGGCCGTGAGTTCAAGTCCCACCTCAATCGTGAAAGCTGGCTGGGTGGCTTTGGGCCAGCCACTCGCTCTCAGCCCAACCCACCTCACAGAGTAGCTGTGGGGAAAATAGGGGGAGGAAGGTTTATTTGATATGTTCGCCACCTCGAGTTATTTGTAAAAATAATAAAGACGGGACACAGATAATTTCCCAGCAATTAAGAAATTAAATAAAGAACTGCAATCCCTTTGAAACAGTCTCCAAACCCTTCTTCTACAGATTTGGGGAAAGCGGTTGGTGGTGGAAAGTCAATGGGAGGTTTGTAGCTTATCAGTTTCCCCGGGAAAGTGATTCGGCCCTGGGTGCTAAGTCACCAAACATCATCAGCCCCCCTCATGGACACATCCTGCCCCCTCGTCACAAAATCTGAGTGGAAAGGGGCCAGTTAGAGCCTCAGATCCCGTCTCTGTAGAGGAAGGAAGCGTTTTAGCCGAGAAACGGGGGGGGGGGGAGAAACAATTTCTCTCATGTTTTCCTAAGCATTTGCATTCATCCCATCCCCAGAGACAGATGGGGGACGGACATTCTATGGATTTAATGTTGTAGCTATTCCTCGGAGTACCATTGCTTTGTTCTGTTTGATTTATAATGGGTTCTATTTTAATGTGTTTTTTCCCTGTTATTAGCCACTTTGAGCCTGATTGGATTGAGTGCATATAACTCTTTGAAATAAATAAATAAAAATGTGAATTCTTTAGTTTGGACAAAATATTTTCATGTTCTAACACTTTGTCCCAAGCGTTCGATAACATGAGACATTCGAGCGTTCATTCTTATATAAAAATGGGAACTTGGAACACGTTTTGGCTTTTAGCTTTATTTCCTAAAGTCATAATGTTTGGGAGGTGACAGTCAAAGCTACATAACACCCAGCCTATAAACAATTGGAATACAGTGGGGGTTTTTTTAAGTTAAAATTCCCAGCAGGAGCAGCAATTAAGGCAAAATGCATTTTTATATCCTACTTTAATAGCAACAGAATAACAGAGTTGGAACGGACCTTGGAGGTCTTCTAGTCCAACCCCCTGCTCAAGCAGGAAACCCTATACTATTTCAGACAAATGGTTGTCCAATCTCTTCTTAAAAGCTTCCAGTGATGGAGCACCCACAACCTCTGGAGGCAAGCTGTTCCACTGATTAATTGTTCTCACTGGCAGGAAATTTCTCCCTACTTCGAGGTTGGTTCTATCCTTGATAAATTAAAAATAATTTCTTTGGTAAGTTTTTCTGTAAGTTGGATGATAAGTAGCACTCATCAGCGATGACCGTGCCATGTATGTCGGCATATCTCCAATAAAGAATAGGTGATCAAGGGGGATTCTGCATGCAGAATACTTAGTATGTTTCTAGTACCAACAAAACAAGTATATTCAAGTAGTTTTTACAGAGACTTTCCAGTGGGGATGTTCCAAACTTAGAATTTCTTGTTGGTGGTTCATTCAGAGTCCTAAAATTTCTGGGCTTGATATTCCATTTGTTTATTTGTCCTTCCTGATTTTATCTTCTCTTCCTTCAGGTAACCGAGGAACCACCGCTGGCAGTTCAGGGGATGCACTTGGAAAAGCATTAGCTTCAGTAAGTCTCATTATGACTTCTCATTCTAAGAACCTTTGATTTTATCTGCAGAGAAGACTTCCAAAACTAGCACAACGTACATCTGTTGGAACTACAACTATAAGAATTGTTTGTTTATTACAGACAGTCTTCAGCTTACAACCATTTCTTTAGTTCAGGGGTAGGCAACCTTGGCTCTTTTATGACTCGTGGACTTCAACTCCCAGAATTCCTGAGCCAGCCATGCTGAGGGGAAAGGGAGAGGTTTCCAAGCTGAGCCATGCTGGCTCAGGAATTCTGGGAGTTGAAGTCCACGAGTCATAAAAGAGCCATGGTTGCCTACCCCTGCTTTAATTGAACATTCAAAGTTACAACGGCATTGAAACAAGTGACTTATGACCCATCCTCACACTGAATAAGTGTTTCAGCATCTCCATAGTCGCAAGATCACAATTTGGGCACTTGGCAACCACCCTGTATTTACAAAGGTTGCAGCATCCAAGAGTTATGGCGATCGCCTTTTACAACCTTCCCAGCCGACTTCCGACAAGCAAAGTCCGTGGGGGAAGCTGGATTCGCTAAACGGCCATGTGATTCGCTTAACTACTGCAGTGATTTGTTTAACAACCATGGCAAAATTGGGCAGGACTCACTTAACAACCGCCTTGTTTAGCAGCGGAAATTCTGGTCCCAGTCGTGGCCAACGTCAAGCAAAAAAGAGGACTTGGTTTTTCAGGCGTAGTTAAGCATTATATTTTTTCCCTCCATTCCTGCTCCCAAATTCTTTTTTTCCCGTTCCTCCCCAGATCTACTCTCCAGATCATTCTAGCAATAATTTCTCTTCGAACCCATCCACTCCGGTGGGCTCCCCTCAGGGAATAACAGGTAAGCTGTGAAATTTTGCCTTCTAGTATAAATCTAGAAACATGCAACAGTGGGTGGAAATCTCAAAGGAGGAGGTGAAATTATTGGCATTTTATCAATGAGTTTTTCAAGGTAAATGACCCTTCTTATTCTGAACTGGTCCAGTGTTAGCTCCATGATCCAGTTTGGGGTAACATGCAGAATACGGGGTATCTGTACAAACAATTTAGGACCTCCGTCTGTATCAAATGTCTGGATGCAGCAAAATCAGGAAAATATTCAATTTCTGTAAGCTCACCCCTTACAGGCTATTACTGAGCAAGGTCTACATTGGTGTTTTTCAAACTTGGCCAGTTGAAGACGTAAGGACTTCAACTTCCAGAATTCCCCAGCCAGCATGACTGGCTGGGGAATTCTGGGATTTGAAGGCCACACATCTTCAGGTTGCCAAGTTTGAAAAACACTAGTATAAGAGACTCACTCAAACTTCTATAAGCAGCCAAGTTGGTGGCCAGTGAAGTTCTTTATTTCCTCTTTTTTAAGACATAGTAAAAATGTCATTTAATTCCTTTGCACGTGAATAGAACTCTGATAAGATAGGGCAGGGGTCTTCAAACTTGGCCCTTGTATGACTTGTGGACTTCAACTCCCAGAATTCCTCAGCCAGGCACACTGGCTGAGGAATTCTGGGAGTTGAAGTCCACAAGTCATACAAGGGCCAAGTTTGAAGACCCCGAGATAGGGGAATAATACATATAAGTTCTTGTAGGTTTATCTAATGCTAATAGAAAGTTTTGCTGAAAATGATTGAAAATTCTTGGTTTTGTAAAGTAAAGGTAAAGGGATCCCTGCAGATTTTACTCCACTCGTCGTTGCCGACTCTAGGGGGGGATGGTGCTCATCTCTGTTTAAAGGCCATTGAGCCAGTGCTGTCCAAAGACATTTCCACGGTTATGTGGGGTTATGTGGCCAGGATGACATCAGAGATCTCTGTTATCTTGGTTTTGTACTGGACTGAAAAGTGTGGTGTGGAAACATAGTTTTCTATACAGCCAGTTTGCCTACTTCCATAGGGGATGTGTAATGACTACAAGAGAAGAATGAAACACAAGTGGATTTTCTTTTACTAGCTAATGGCAGCCCTTTGACCACAAAATGTCCTGTTCACCTGAGATTGAGACAGCCTCAGTCTGAGATTTATTAAAGCTTAGCTGCACAGTTATAGCTCCAGGGCATATGTGTAAAGCAACAAATCTGAAATTTGTGGGTTGTTGGCTCCACCTGCTGTCACATGGAAGAAATGCATGTAAACTCATGGCAAGCCCGGGTTTCAAAAACAATCATCTTCTCTAAACACTGTGGCTTGTAAAAACGGACCTGTACGAGGCTCCATGTTTATCTTCTTCCCTGCCCAATTCATTTTGTCCTGGCTTTTTAAAAGCTAGATTAAAAGAAGACTGCAATGCAAAAAAAAAGCCGGTCAGTAGGTAGATAGAAACAGCCATCATTAAAACATGAAGTGCGTTTCCCAAGATGTGGTCGTGCTTCCTTACGGCATTTCTGTGACAGAGGAGCGAGCATATTTCTAATAGAAGAAAAGTCTACAACGCTGGTTCTCAAGCTCAGCAACTTTAAGATGCGTGGACTTCAACTTCCAGAATTAGCCAGTCAGCATGCTGGTTGAGGAATTCTGGGAGTTGAAGTCCACACATTTTAAAGTCCCCAAGTTTTAATAAAACTGGATGTAAGGAGTGGTTGATCCTGATGGAACTCCCGAAGTTCTACCTGGCTTTTGATGTGTCCTGGAAGTCTGGGGTGCTTAATACTCTCAGAGCTTGGTTGTTTGTTTGCTTGCAATGCACTGATGATGTTGCTTAGTTGGGTAATGAAATGTCTGCAAAAATAGCCCAGCTCCGAGAGCAACAAAAAATCCACAGTTCAACCCTGAGCTACTTGTATCATCCCGAAAATATTTCTTGGCAGTTGTGAAGAGAAAGGATGTCTATGCTATCTATCTATCAAATGTATTTGCTAATAGCAAAATGTCCTCTGTCTGTCCACCACTCAGGTTCTTCGCAGTGGCCCCGAACAAGTGGACAGGGTGCCTTATCCCCAAGCTACGAAGGCACCCTCCATACTTTGGTAAGTATCCCTCCGCCGCATACTTGCCATGGGTTTTTGCAGTAAATAATTACAGGTAGCCCTTGATTTACAACCATTCATTTAGCAACCATTGAAAGTTATGACAGCACTGGAAAAAGCAGCATATCCGCGGTCATATCATCGGACTTTGGGTGCTTGGCAACCAGCTCACCTTTACAATGGTTAGAGCATCCCAGGGTCACGTGGTCGCCATTTGCAACCTTCCCAGCTGGCACGTCAACGGAGAAGCTGGCAGGAAAGGTCACAATTCATGATCATTTAGCCATTTAATAACGTGGTTGCTTAATAATGACTTTTCCACTCCCACTTGTGGCCATAAGTCAAGAACTACCTATAAATTCCTTGCAGATAGCAGTGGACCTAGCAACCTTAGTAATAGCATAGTTTTGATCGCCCACCAGCCTATTCTATGTTGCTTGATAATATCCCCCAAACAGCTTTCTTTTTAGCCTTGGTCCTTCTCCCTGAAAAATCAGCCTAGTAAGGACGCACCTGATAGACGTTGTAAAGAAAGAAAGCCTTGTGTCCACTCTTCAAATGTTGTCTGTGTTTGCTTTTTGTTTTTAAACTTCTTGCTTCGTTTGGTGCCTGAATCTCAGCTGTTGGCAGGCACCCCACCAGCTCCACGCAGTGGTTGTGGTGGGGCTCTGTTTCACACTCTTTCCCTCTCTTCCCTCCTTCAAGCAAAACAAAATGGAAGACCACTTGGACGAAGCCATCCATGTGCTGAGGAGCCATGCAGTGGGCCAGACCAACCACAGGGACATCCACGACTTGTTGGCATCCGCTTCTGCGCACAGCACTTCTGTGGGCAGCCTTAGCCAGTCTTTTTCCCCGGCCTCTGTCTTGCCAATTGCTAGTCGGCATACGAACTTGGTAAGATAGGAATTTGGGGGGGGGGGGTTTCAGATAAGCTCTACTGTTCAAAGGTTTATGGCTTCTCCTTTCAAGAACCTCTTTAAAGGTCTATTTGCATAACTTGACTTACCTTGTTTCCCCGAAAGTAAGGCCTACCCCAAAAATAAGCCCTAGCTTGATTTTTTGTGGTAGGCCTAATATCAGCCCTACCCCCAAAATAAGCCCTAGTTTTGGGGCAAGGTACACATCTAAAAATCAAGCTAGGGCGGGGGTGGGAGGGTGGAGCTGCCCCATGCACCCTGCACCCACTTACTGTTGCAGCCTGCGGTCTCCTTGCCAGCCCACTTCTTCTGTGGCATCCTCCAGCCTGCATTTTGCAGTCAGAGGCCTTTCTGGAACACCTCTGCAGCTGAGAACCAAGCTATGGATTCCATAGCTCGGTTCTAGGCTGCAGAGGCCTTCCGGAAAGGCCTCTGACTGTGAAATGCAGGCCGGGGGACACCACAGAAGAAGTGGGCCGGCTGGGTGGGGCTGTCGGTGCCAGAGGTGAGTGGAAAAGACACCCCCCGAAAATAAGACCTTGGTGCCTCTTTTGGAGACAAAAATAAAAATAAAATAAGACTGGGTCATATTTTCGGGGAAATACGGTATTAATCCATCTGATCCAGACATTTTGGTCCACAGTTCCTAGAATCCATTGACTTTAGACATACAGCTGGAGGTTGGTGGGACTTGGTTGGTCCAAAGCATCAGGAGAGTAGAAGTTCTTCATGACTGATCTAGCTTAGTATAACTAGCAACCAAAAGTTTTCTTATTACCTTTTCCTTATAGATGCTGGAGATTGGGGTTAGTCTCTTGTGTCCTCCACCGAACTATGGGCCGTCCATGTTAAAAATGCTTCTTGCAAGCTATGTAACATTCTTCATATTCAAAAGTCCTACCACATTTCATTGTGGGGTGCGACTTTGTCGTACCAGTCAAGAGGCAGAAAGGAGAATAGTCTATGACAGGGGTAGGCAGCCATGCTGGCTCAGGAATTCTGGGAGTTGAAGTCCACGAGTCATAAAAGAGCCAATGTTGCCTACCCCTGGTCTATGATATAAGGTCATGGCTGAGGGGCAGAAGTCAGGGTATCTTGAGTTCAAAATGCAGTTTCCAATGGCCCCTACATTCAGCAACATAATTCTATCCAACTTTTCTCTTGCATCTTTAGAGTTTCATAGCTGTGTGGGATTTTTCCTTCTTCCAAATTTGGGTTGCATCCTACAAAATGTTAGGGTGGTTATTCAGGGCTTGTTTGTAGGAAACTGTCTAGTATAGAACCTGGGTGAAATGTTGTTGGTTTTTTTTCCAATCTCATCAGTAAAACCATCAGCTTTGCACTGATGTTGTTACTAATTTGGTAGTGAAAACCAAATCTGCAAGAAGACGACCAAGCTCAGGCAGCACCAAGAGCCCCACAATATTGTAGAACTTGATTTCTTTTTATTTTTCTGTGAACCAACCTCTGCCTGTTCTTACATGCTTCATGACTCACTCAAAATCAGATGGAGCTTCAGTAGCATCGCTGTGGTAGTCATCCTATCCTTTTCTAACTATGCTCCGCAGACACTTGATAGCATTTTGGTAGTCAGTATGCCTCTTTATGATTCTATGGAAGGGTTGCTAGATCTAAAATTCACCGCCCTGAGTCCCGTAAGGGAGATAGGGCGGTATATAAATTCAATAAATAAAATAAATAATAAATAAAATTCCTACCTATAGAGCTGGTTCACACATCAGATTAAGTCCTAATATAGGCTTATTGGGCGGCACAGTGGGTCAGCAGTTAAGACGCTGGGCTTGTCAGCTGGAAAGCCAGCAGCCCGTGTTCGAGCCCCGAGTACCACACGACGGGGTGAGCTCCCTTCTTTGCCCCAGCTCCTGCCAGCCTAGCAGTTTGAAAGCATGCAAATGTGAGTAGATAAATAGGTACCACTTCAGTGGGAAGGTAACAATGCTTCATGACAACATGCTGGCTACGTGACCACGGAAATATCTTTGGACTTGAAACCAGATGACCACTGCCCTCTATATTCGGCAATAACTAGCAGAGTAAAATCCGCAGAGGCTCCCTTCCTAGAGGCATACTGGCATAATGGCTTAGCCTTATGTTCAAATCTGAATTGTATTGTTTGACCAACAACCAGTACTTAAAGCAATCCCGGCATATTATTAAACTTGATTCACCATTTGCCCCTGAGGCATTCGCTGCGGTTAACTAATGAAAACTGAGGCTTTAAAAGAGGGGCTGATACGCCCCTTTCCAATTTCTACACTTGCTCACTAGCATTGCCTCAGGCAGTGTTTCTCAACATTGGGGACGTTAAAATGTGTGGACTTCAACTCCCAGAATTCCCCAGTCAGCATCACCGGCATAGTGGCCTTTCTGGACCTTGTTGCTGTTCTTTTTGGCAGGTGGGAGGAGGTCACCCCGAAGACAGCCTCTCTAGCAATCCTGGTCTTCTCCACAACCATGTTGCTCTCCCTGCCCAGACCAGCTCGCTTCCTGACCTCAGTAGAGGACAGTCTTCAGATGCCTTTAGCGGTAAGGCTGAGTTGCACAATTCGAATGCTGAATCTCAAAACCCCAGTCTCTCGGCTGGTGCAAGGTAGGGTGCTGGACAAGTGAGCTAACGACCTCTTGCAAAATTACAGTTATAATAATAATAATAATGATAAAGTTGGAAGGGACCTTGGAGGTCATCTAGTCCAACCCCCTGCTCAGGCAGGAAACCCTATACCATTTCGGACAAATGGCTGTCCAGTTTCTTCTTAAAAACTTCCAGTGTTGGTGCATTCACCGCTTCTAGAGGCAGGTTGTTCCACTGGTTAATTATTCCAACTGTCGGGAAGTTGACACGTTCCCTTTATAACTGAAGGAAAGGAACCAAAGTAAGCAGATTCTTCTCTGTGAAACGTATCCTCCTTCTTCATGTCTATGGAGATTCTCAGTCATCCAGGTCATTCTGACTGTCAGAACTGAAGAAGTCTCTTGAACTAGAAGCAAAACGTCTTCAAGGAAAAACAAAGGAAGTCCAGTTGCCCTTTGGGGGGGGGGAAACCCAACCTTTGGGATCTCTCTCTTCATGTGAATCTGCAACTCAGAATCAAAAATTATTTCATTAATTATTATTTTAGATGTTTTATTTTTAGTTTTGTTTTTAATCCTGCCTTTATTATTTTTATAAATAAGTCAAGGCAGTGAACATATGTAATAGTTCTTCCTCCTATTTTCCTCACAATAACAACCATGTGAGATCACTTGGGCTGAGAGAGAGTCCAAAGTCCCAGCGGGCTTCCATTCTTAAGGCGGGACTAGAACTCACAGTCTCCCGGTGATTGGCCCAAAGTCACCCAGCCGGCTTT